CACACACACACACACACACACACACACACACACACACGTGTACATGCTGACTCAAGAATATATTCATAAAAGGAGCCCATACAAACGTGCACATTTGCAAACAGGCACACATACATAGAATAGGCTCTCATTCGGGGACCGGGGAGATATCTGGTAATACCGCTGCAGAGGTCACTGTAGTCTGTCTTAAATTAAAAAGAAGAAAGGAAGCTGAATAGGCATTTTGTTACAGAATCGTAGCGGGTGGCTAAAGCCAGTGTCGGATTAGTCCTTGAGCTCTCTTTTACCTTTACCACAAAAACAGTCAGTTAGCGTTTTTTTTTTTTTAATTGGTCTATGATTTTATCTGAAAACAGAAGCTGATTTGAATTCATGCCGGTCAAGAATTCAGCTTAATACAAAGGGGAAGAAATTAAAATGCATACGAGAAATGCTTTAAGCAAAATATTTGATTATTAAGAGGTAGTAAGAATGTGTCCAGCCATGTTACCGTCCTGTTGCATAATTTAACATCTTAACATTAATATTTCAAGCATATTGTGTGCTTTGTAGGTTAATCACCCTGCAAATGATATAAAAACGTTTATGTTTTACAAATGTATTATGAATCTATAAAACTAAAAAATATCATAATAAAAATCATTAAATGAGCAGTAAAAGTCCAAAATGCTCTTTTTAATACTTTGGGAACACCTGCAACCAAGAACATTTATATCAGATAATATTATTTTTATTATCTAAGATGCTGTAAATTGTATGAAATTATTTTTTGATTCCACAGCCAATGTTACAGTGGGCTTTTGAATCTGCCATGTCTGCAGCCCAGAAGAGGTTTTCCATCTTAACCAATCAAATACTTTTCACCATAAAACCATAGCCCGAAATAAAGGCTCAAACATTGCTGGGTGTCCAGTTTTGTGGAATTGACCTTAAAGCTTTGGTACTATCACTTTGTACACAAAAAATAGATATAATTACTGTAAAAAAAAAAAAAAGAAAAGCTAATTCTAAATCCTTAAATCTGATTTAACAACTACCCGCTGAATATTCTCTATGTTGTCTGCAATAACGTACCAACTTTCAAGAAATATTCATCTCTTTACTTAAACATACTTTTTTTTAAAAGTCTCTAGAACTTTTGACAAATGTCCACAATTTTGAAAAAGTGCACACACGGCCAGAGGCGTGTAAAAGAAGCTGGAGAAAATAACCACAATATAAAACATAGTTCTGGACCTTTAAATTGTGTTTTTAGTGTTTACCTTGGCTAAAATCAGTCTAGTCACTACTTTATTAAGGCCGAGCAGTGTGGAGGGGGTCCGAACGGAGTGAGTGGGAGAATAACTGACAGCGAAATTGCAGAGGGAAATTATTGTTATTCCACAATTAAATTATATATACTGGGTGGAATCACCCCTGACAGGGCTGACCATAGCAGCACTGCTGATTTGAGCGTGTGTGTGTGTGAGTGTGTGAGTGTGAAACTTTATCCGTCTACCAAGGCCACTGAGGCTATATTGGCAGGGAAGAGAATGTAGAAAAAGAATCGGAAGGAGACAGAATTAAAGAGAAAGAAATGTAACATCAACAGAGTGAGCAAAAACAGCCTATTTAAGGGCTGAGTGGGTGTTAGTGAAAACACAGCAAACCCCCAGTAATGAAGCTATTTTAAGTTGTGACGACAATACTGGATGTAAAATAAACCATCCTTGATTTTTGTGGGTGAATTCGTCCCGCGGTTAGAGTGTATGTTTGGGCACAAACATATTGCAGATGCTGTGAAAAGTCCTTTCATCTTGAATTAGGTCCATTTCTCAAAGAGAATTCTGGCCTCGCCTTCGTCTGCAGGCATTAAAAACACACTGTCAAATGTGAAAAATGAACTGGTTTCAGATTAAAGAAATGACTGCTCAGTCTTCTTTTTTTTCTGAAACAATAACTCTTTGAATACACGAGGTTTCGGGTGATAGGTAAAGCAAACTAACTTTATTTTCTATCCAGTGAAATTAATGATCTGCGAAACTTGGGGAAAAAACAAAAAAAAGACTGTGCTGGCTTGAGCACATGCTGGAACCAGCAATCCACCAAAGAAATTTAGATTGTTTTATGAATTTCAGAAATCCCTGAATTTCCTCTGTGACATTGATTTATGCTTTGGTCTCATTTCTTTTCCCTCTAAAAATTGGACTTCAAGCCATTTTAACATTCTGATGATTGGTCGTTATTTTTTTATGCATTGTGCGGTTCTTGTACTCAGATAAATCTGGAACTTCCTGTTCTGTTTATATAGGCTATATCAATAATAGAAGAATGTATTTCAAAATGGAACGTTCACACTATAGCTTAATGGTTTATTGTTTTGTTTGTACATGTTCTCAGAAAACCTTTCCAACAGTTACATTTGTTATGTTATTTTTATATTGTGTTTAAGGTTTAAGGTTTTGGTCAGTATTAGCAATGTCTTACTTTACACAATGTTTTGCTATATGGTATAATCCTCTTTCACATATACACAGACTGTCTTTTTCTGTTGTTTGATATCGTGGACCCCATGAGTGATCTCATATTTCCACTTCCCCATGAATGTTTAATACATACATTGTTATCAGCTTCTATGAGTCCATCAATGATATCCCCCAGTGTGTGGCTTCGATGTTTGGCCTTTCCTTTTTTCCTGCTCTCATTTCTGTCTACAACTCCACACAATATCAATAAGCATTGTACTATTTTCACATGCTGACTGGGAATGCACTTGTGTCTCTAATTAGGTGTACAATGATACAGTCAACCGTTTTTTTCCTTTTCTTTCATTCGATCAATTTTACGCGTGATAGAATACAGTATACGAGAACGCTAATAGTCGGAGACAGCAGAGAAAAGCTTAACTTTGAAGAGCATGAACAGATCAAGAGACAAGACCATCATGTTTTATCTGTTTATTAACAAAGAACACATTAGAACTCAACTTGAGAGGCACAAAAACACTTACCTGGATAGATCACAGTTCACAGTAGTATCCCCCCTCAGTTTTTCTCTCTGTTTGAACAATCAATTGTGGGTTTTGCTTAGTTTCTTGGTTCTAATAGACTTTGACACATTTGTCAGATGCAAAATTTTCTATCCAACACTTGACATTGTTGTGGAATTTTCCCATCTTCTGTCTGTTGATCAAACAGAGGAGCGTTATTCTTTTCTAGATGGGTGCCAAACTAACGAGGAGGTTGGAATGATATATAGTTCAGTTTTAAGTTTATATAATAAGGAAAGAAAGAGAAGCCTGGATCACATAGGATGCATTCGATGCAGATCCACACCAGTATCTTCTGTTGGAGAGAATAACTTTTACTTTGTGACTCTGCAGACATTTAAGATGCACACTGAAACTTATACTATACAAGTCTTTATGAACAAGGACACAGAATCATGAGCATCATCGTTGAAATGGGCTCTATAAAAAAAAAATCCCTAAGCAGTATTTAAATAGAATATTACGTTGTGGTGAGCATCTTTTTTTGTCTCAGTAACAAAAGGCCCTTAGATTGTTGCTTTTTTTAACCATCAAATTTAATTTTGTGAGTGCAGAGTGACTACAGTATCCCCCTATGTCTTTCTGAAAATGAAGTCAGTTAAGTTTTTGTTTTTAAGAACAATAAATGGCTTTTTTTTTCTGATCGGTTCCCTTTTCCCTCTCTATATCTCTCAATCCAGCACCCTCAACAACAACAACATCACCCTCATCCCACTGTCCAGCTTCAACCACATGCCCAAGCTGCGGACACTGTGAGTATAACACACCCTCACACAACTACCCGGGTACTACAGACACACATGGACTCTGCAGTTGCACACAAGCATTTATTTTGCACAGATGAACCAATGCTGATGCATGCACACACACAGCCGCATATACACAAATAAACACCCACACTGCGTGGCAGCGGGGTCTCTGTGTCATGATCTAATCGCGTCATAATAAGAGACCAACTCTTCCATTGTTTCATGACTGTGAATAATCATGTGGCCATTACACACACTAAAACAATCACACCCCCTTCAAGCACACGCGGACACACACGCACACGCATGCATCCTCACTTGAGTAATGGTAACCTCATTAATTCCACAAGAAAGGCCTGTTTGGGCTCTATAGTCCAATCTGCTTTGATTCATTAGATGAAACCCGCTCCACTGATGTTACTGATGTGAGAACACACACGCATTCACATGCAGCGCACACACCAATTGCCACAACGTGAACCTCAGACCAAATCATCCCTTTAGACAGGAGGAAAGCTTTGATTTATGTGTGTTTTTATGTTGTTTTTTTTTTTCTTTGTTCAGTTGTGTAAAAGAAAATCTTACAGTTGCCTAGGCGATGGCACAACATTTAAAGGAGTCTCTCCCCATATCTCCCGGGACTATCTGAAAGGCAATACCATGTGTTGCATTCCTCTTAGCCACAGTCTGGCTGAATTCCATCAAGCCGGCGTGCACAGAGCTGGATTTCCTCCCCAAATCTTTAAGAGGCTCTTGTGTGGTCACGTTATACGACTTAACATTCAGCACTGGTGATAAAAACGCAACATGACTAAAGAACAAGGGCCACGTTTGAAGAGTTCTACTACTTTTTTTTTTTTTTACAACTGTTTATGTTGTTTGACATTTGACCAACAACGTTCATCAGCAACTAATCGCACCTAGCTGGATTTCTATTTTTACCTTCAAACTCCTGCAGTTGTGGTGGCAATACAGTTTGAAATCAACCCTTTGAAATTGGATTTCAGAGCGCAGCGTTGCTACACTGTAGAGAGCAGATTGGGCACAGACTGCCAATATCCAATATCTTTTAATCAGACACCCTCGTCTGCTTTTGTTTTCCGTCAACACTGAGTGACTGTCCTCTCTGATTTTTTCTTTCTTCATCCTCACATATCCTCCTCTTCAGTGGTTGTGCATGCCCTCTCATATTTTGCCCTTCCGTCCCTCCCTGTGTCTGCAGAATGCTTGCTACCATCCGCCATAAAATCTTATTTTTTTATATATCATTTCCTGCTACCCTTCGATTATCCCTGAAAATGTCAAGACTTATTTCATTTTTCCAGTTTATTCCTTTTTACTTCTTCCATCTAACTCACTTAGTTGTTTTGTCTTTTCCCCCTACCTTTCCAATCTCTATCTTTTTGTCTTCCTCCCTTCATCGCTTTTTTTGTCTCCCTCTCATATTGTTTATGTCCTGTGGTCAGATCTGAGCCCATCTTCCTCTATTTTTTTGTCCCTCTTCACCCTCAACCTCCTTGCCATTGCATTTGGTGTCTCTTCCTGCATGCTCTTCCCAGCTTTAGAACTAAATTAGCCGCTCCAGTCAAATTACTCATTCAATTAAACGTTCAGTGATGTGATACAATTAACAGGTTTTCATTCATCCATCTATCTGTACTCTGTTCTCCAACTTCTCTTTCGGTTTTCTACTGCTCTGTTGTTAGTAATCATATCACTTCAGAGTGTCTTTCATTCAGAAACTTGAATCAGTGAAAAGATGAGAACTCCTGCTGCTTGAGACTGTCAGTGTTTGTGTATGTGTATGTGTGTGTGTGTATGTATTTCATTGTAATAGAGATGTGCCCAGTAACCCACTGGGGAAGTTATTAACAATAAAGACACACAGACGGACACACACAAACCTGCACTGAACCACCACACACAATGCCTGTTTTCACCCGCAAGAAATAAGTGAAGGAAACACAATCAAGCTTACCCACAAATATAGTCAAAACACACGTACACACAGACACGGCGTTTTCTCCACACCCCCTGCTTGTTCCTATTCTCCCTTGTGTTTTAATCCTACTTGTCAGTAATTAAGACTAAGCAGGGGGGTGTGCCACAACGTGGCTATCTCCAGGCAGGGGTTTCACGATAAACTGGATTTATAATAGGCGAGCGGTATTAAATCCTTCTGCCCCCGCTGCTAGCATCAATGAGACCATCTCTGTTCCATAACAGGATTTGTCCTCTGCTTTATTACAAAAGGAGGCCGGTCCTCTGAAAGGCTAGATACCCCGGCTGGCACATAATACGCTGACAAGACATTCTGCTGTTCGTCTGCCCTTCTCTCCCCCCTTCTCCTCCTCCTACCTCTCATCATCTCTTCACATGCAGTGCAGCCTGTAGAGAGTCTCAGTTCTATGAAAAAGCACCTGATGCATCCCACACTCGGCAGCTCTTTTTCATCAATGATGCGGGTGAAATTAATTTTAAACAGCAGTTAACCATAATGATTGATTATTACCAATGACAACTTTTTGCTTTTAATTCTCTGTAACTGTTAAGGGTTGCTGGGTTATAAATGTCATCATTTTCTCATTTATCCGGCCTGGTGGAGATAGTAGCTGTGAATGTTTTGTTTTTCTGAACAGCCTCCCCCAACAAGGATAGTGGCTCTGCAAAAAGATTCTGATTTCTCTGTAAAAATAGTTACTTGGTCAGATGAATGGTGTGTATTAACTATCTGATGAAAATAGAACCCTTTTGAAACATTCAATTCAAGCTGTTTTAATACAATTTCTTTTCACTCCTACATTTCATACTTCTTGGGTCTGGCCCCTTTGGCATTACAGTGTCACAAAACATCCAAAGTTCGGAGAAAGTGTCCTTAAAATCAAACTTTTGTGTTTCCAGAATCCATCCAAATGCTTTTTTTCGTTCTTAAACGTATCCAAGCATTGACTGCAAAGCAAACCCAAAAGGAAAATGTTCATCCAACACTCATAACCTTGTGATTTGGAGTGGACGTGCTGAAACTAAACCAAAAAGCAATGGTTTCTGAGAAGAGTCAACCCCCCGAATAAACTGGGATTTAGCTGTGTATTTTCCTTCTGTCAAGGGAGTCATAGCTTTAGAGGCCTTTGGAAAAGAAGAACTTCAAACATGACTCTTTCCTGTTTTTGTGTCTGTTTTACTGACGCACCAGCTTCTCGGCCATGGTTAACTTAACCATTCTTAATGTCTTTGCGGTTGAAGTAGTGTTTTTGTCTGAATTCCTTCGAAGTCTTTACAGAAATCTAATATGAAATATGAAATTAATTTTAAGTGGATACCGAAATGTGAAGTCTCAGTCTCAGTATTATGTTTTTCTTCCATGTCTTTCCAGCCGCCTGCACTCCAACAACCTCCACTGTGACTGTCACCTTTCCTGGCTCTCTGATTGGCTCAGAGCCAGGCGGGGCTTGGCTCCTTTCACCCAGTGCATGGCCCCTGCCCACATGAGGGGCCTCAACGTCCCAGATGTGCAGAAGAAGGATTTTGTCTGCAATGGTGAGCTGAGGCTAGCCCATACATTTGATTTGTCTCAAGTATAACCTTGGATGATAAATCTTTTCAGTCTGGGTGTTGGTCTTTTATAAAAGTCTGCTTAGCAAGTTGTTCGTGTCACTTATATCCTGTTTAGTGTAGTTAGCTGTTTGATGGGGACATACACAGTCTAAAGGATGCAATTTTTAATGCAATATAGATTTCTTCTCCCTATACCCCAGTGCCAAATTGATCATTCTGAAAGAATTACGTTGTGTACAGCCTGTAATCAGCTAAAAGCCCTGAATAAGAGCAGTCATGTTATCAGCTGCACACAGTCCAGGCTACGTTTATAGGGCTCTGATTCAGCCCTTTGCGCTAATAGACTGGCCGGCAGCTCTCACTCTATTAGCCTTAAGTCTTCTACATTCATTTTTTTTCATAGCAGGTCACCTTTCCTCATTCCCCTCTAACTCCAAATGTCAATAACAACCTGTGTCTCTGCCTCTACTCTCCTGGCTCTTATTGTCCTTTCACTCTGATTTTCAACTGATATTAACTTTCTTCTTTCCCTCTTTTTCCCCCGATTTATTTTACATCCTGCCTGCATTGCTACACTTTCAACCTCTTTCATGCTATTCTGTCTCCTTTTGCTCACATCTATTGTTAAGTCATGTTCTTCTGCCCCTTTTTAGAAGTAGACCAATTAAAGCAATCATATATTAAATGAAATATTAGATCTCTGTGTGATTTGTTTTCAGTATTTTATTGTTTTTGTATTCGTCTGTTGACAGGCCCAGCACAGACAGAGCCGAGGACTTGTGCTCCTCAGGTAGCCGTGTGTCCACCGAGCTGCAGCTGTAACAACAACATCGTGGACTGTCGTCGGAAAGGACTAACCGAAATACCTGCCAACCTCCCAGAGGGCATCATGGAGATGTAAGAGCACTTTATCAAAATGACACGCTACTCATTTCCATGTAAATGTGTCCCACATGAAGAGATAAGCACAAAGTGTTTTACAAACTCTATTCCTTCCACTGGTGTGTTCATGTAAAAAATCTAATCTATGTACTTACTGGGTTATTGCAGAGGATCATTTAATTTTGCACATAAAAGCAACTACTATTACTTTTTGTTTTTACTTTCCAGCTGGTTACACATACATTTTTGATTGAGTGATGCATTGTCAACTTAGGCACTGTTGTATTTTTTTCACACGATGGACAAAAATAGCATTATTCATCCAGAATACTTAATACCCCGTCGTTAAGTGGAAAGAAAGCTTACCTAATAGAAACTTAAACATGGATATACACCCAACACATACAGCTACATTGTAGTTTTTGGAACTTGGAATATAGCATGATAAATTAGACCCTGTACCTAACCCAAATGTTGGCAAATTGTAAGTGTTCTTGCAGTAATTTCCTATATATTGCAGCCAAATTCGACACTTTTCTTCCCTTTTTCCAGTTCTTTACTTCCTTGACAAATATTTAAGCATACTCACACATTCACACACACCACTGGGGGATGTATTTGATATACGTATCGATCGCTGTCCCCTGCTTGTTTGTACAGAGGACAGCTCGTTGATTGCTCTGTGACTAAAGGAGCAATTTTCCACCTTAGCTCTACACCTACACAGCTCTACCTCCCCAGCATAAGTAAAGATTCCCGCTCACAAACACACAAGAATATAAAGTTTGGTTTGTGCAAAGACAGCCCGTACACGGCTTCAAGTGTGAGTTCTTGGAGGATCAGATGCGCGACAGACAGACAGACGGCAAACAGCACATCGAACAAGATCACAAGGACACACACATGCACTCACAAAGAATTAGCATCGGATCAATTATGATAAATGTCGCTGCAGCAGCCAGAAACAATACAGCATAATAGGATGATGTATTGTGAAACTTTTAATGGAGACAAAGTCATGTCTTTGAATGTCACTTCATAAATAGTCCTTAGTGAATGTGGATGTACTGATAAGAAACAGTATATTTTCACATGTGCATTTTCACATTAAGTCTTCAAATTGACTAGGAAAAAAACAATTAAAGTTTTAAAGTTGTAATATTTCAAGATTAATAGGAAGCTGGTGTGTACGTTTGTTTGTAGTTACTCAAACAATTTTGGACATACTTACCTGCCAAACTTATATCCGGTTATAGTTGTCGCTCACTTGTCCCTTGACCTTATGGATTTTTTTAAATAGCTTTCGGAATACAACCTCCTTTAATATGTGTTTTGATATTGAACCTCTTAAGTGTCTTTGTCTCAACCTCGCCCGGATATAATTCTGATATATGGTGATACATTCTGACTACAGATTGTCTTGGTCAGAATCCATATATGCTTGATTTATTTTGACCCAGCCAACACAAGCCAAGAAAGCCAAGAAATCTAAAGTACAAGGGTTAAGATAGATAGATAGATAGATAGATAGATAGATAGATAGATAGATAGATA